TTCACCTTCGGCCAGCACTCGGTGTAGTCATCCTTGCTTTCTGTCTCTTCCTCTAACCCATTACGGTCCTTTTGCCTCCAAGTCTTAAAAGCTGCCCCGAGAATCCCATGGATGAAGAGCACGTCAGCTTTGATTGGCTGGCTGGAAATGAACACATTGTTAGAGACAACTGTTGGTTTAAATATTAAATCAAATGAAACGTATACTTTATAAACAATTATGTGGCAATAGAAATAAGTGTTTACCTACTTGTCACGTGTTTGAGGGTGGAGGATATAGACGCCGTCTTGGTATTTCTCTTTCACCGTCTCCCTATCCAGGTTGGCGAGAGCGCGAGCTGCATGAGACGCCTGCATGACATGAGGAGACTGCATCATCTCAGCCAGCACAGATATCCAGCCTGAGGTAGTGATACAAGTAAGGAAGAAAAAAAGAAAATATTGGATTTATTTCTATACAGAAGACATACAAGTCTTAACAATACGTATATTGTAAAGCAATTTGATACATGTTGAATGATGATCCTAGTGATAACATATTATGTAATCCATAGATGAAATAGGAACATTTCCTCCAAAGATCATCCTATAATAATCAGATGAGTGTCCGACTTACCAGACTGGGAAATGGCCTGGTAAGCACTTTCATTGAGCGCCAAATTTCCTATGATTCGAGCAATGTTCCTCTGGATCTTCAGGGAGTCTTTACGAAGCTGATAAACCCTCTGGAGGAGCTGCAGACCCCCGTTGGAAACTATGTGTTCACAGTGGCTCTCTACCTGCAGGCAGGATGCGTTTCAGTAAGTTCCGGACATTTTGTTATGATTAGTATGTATTATAACAAATGTATTGGCTTTAAAAACCACAAGCTGCCATCTAATTCCATTACATTTAAAAGAAGAAATATATCTCTATGGTCAATATATCTAAACCCTCTGCATCTGAAAATAAACCAATGTCAGTATATAAATAGCACTGCAAGTAAGAGGAAAAAATATATGATTCAGTTCAACCCACCTGGCCAACAAGATGTGCTATTGAATGCACTTCTGTGTTGCGTTTAACTGATTGTTACTATGATCAGTTCCATTAAAGGAACCAGAAAACTTCCACCAAGACTAGATCAAATGGTTTAAATGTAATGGCCATCAATACCTTTGAGTGCTGTACCAGTGCCTGTAGGCAAAAGGATTCCACCTTCTCAGAGGGAACGGAGGTGAGGCTCTGTGCGTAAGGCAGTCCATTCCCTCCAAAACACCACAGACCGCCCTGCAACGTAGGAGAGCAAGTATTAGAAAGAGGCTGGGAAAATAATATGTAGCCTTTTTGGACAAACAATTTATTTTCCTGCCAGTTTGAGTTCTAGATAAGTCTGAAAAAGGCAGTATATAGAGTGCATGTGAGAGTTAAAATTTCCATCACAATTACCCGTTGTGCTGCCAGGGACTGGGTGCTCTCTCTGAGGGCCAGGGATGTGAAGTACTGAACACATTTATCCACCTCAGACTGAGGCAGAGACGCCAGCAGCTGTCTCAGTCCATCCTCTGCCGACAAATTCTGTGAAGAAGTCCATACACCATAGTTTTCATCTTATATTACTGTAAAGTTTCAATTTTTTCTAACTACATCTTACTTTAGTCTTTTCTTAAACAATATTGCAGTCAGTCAGTTAATGTCCATTCAAGTCAGTGTCATTGTTGTGTCTTAGTCATGAAAAAAAAAAGGTAATTGACAAACATATTGTGTCATAGTTTTAATTAATGAAATGAACAATGTCCGTATTACAGATATTGAAGGATTCTAAACTTTAGATTATTTATCAGAGCTACTTACGTTCTCCAGTTCAGGCAGTGCAGGTGAACGCAGGAAGAATCGAAGGTCTACCTTAGGGGTCCGGGCCAGACCCACTGCTGTCCGCTGGTCTATAATCTGGGCTGCTGTCTGGTACTGGTAGTCTGCGTTTTGAATAACAGTTCACTTCACTTGTTGTATACACGGTAAACCTGGAGTGATATGCAACAGTTTTAGAGTATTTTACCCTGCCAGTGGTGATTCTCTGCCAGCTCCTGAACAGCCTGCACTCTGATGGCTTTATTGGGTGACATTGTCCTCTTCAGTAAGGCCCATAATGCCACCTCATGGGGGTCTGCATCTACATGGCTGAAGTGCTCTAAGATATACAGATAGAGAGCACAGTGACAGGTTCAACATTTACACAACAAAAGGCACTACTCATATTTCTAAAGGCACGGTGAAATTGAACTCTGACTGTATCTACTATGACCAACTACCAGTATATACTGTACCACTGCTAGGATGTTACAAACCTTGTGGAGTCAAACCTTGTGTCATCAACGTGGCCGCTTTTTCTTTTTAAAAAGTCAAAAGTTAATTTATGATATGTCTTACTGGAAAAGAAGGTCACATGTTTCAAAAATCTAAAAACGGATGTGCATTTATGATTCAAAGTCATAAGTGAGAGGTAATATAAAGTCAGTAAAACAACCATTCATGTATGTTACAGCTGATTGCACAATATGCATGGACTGTGAGACATTCAAAACAGGATGTTCATGTCCAAGGCAGGTGTTTCCTTTAGTCTTAACGTCAACACTCCACATAAAAATGAGAGTACAACTGTAGTTTCATGAGAATAAATATTTGGTTTCCACTTGGAGTTACATCTGCTTTACAATCTTAGAAATGTTTTGGGAAGTACTTTGGTCTTAAACTTTTGCACTTTAAATAAAATGTCAGGTGATCTGGATCAGTATAACAACTTTTCATTTCTTACCGTCTAGTGAATGCAGCAAAACCCTCGAGGATAATTCCAGAAACCGCCTTGCTGCTTTGTGAAGTTCCCTCCTTGCTTTGTGTGTGAGCCCTGAACACAGTGTAAAAAATGACTACATGACCTAGAACATCTAAATTGTATTTCTATCAAAACAGAAAGGAATAAAGATTGCTAGTTGGTATCTGAGTATTGGTTTGTAGGTGATTGTTTTCACCAAATGAGAGAACCTTGACCAGTGGCAGTGAGATCAGTTAACACCCGAATATTTAGGAAGGAAAGATTATATGAAGGGGAAGGAAGGAAACACCGGAAGTAATGATAACAGACGTCACTGAACACCTGGACATGGCAAACTCAGTAGGACTTTGTGCTGAGGCAAGACATAAATAAAGCCACTCAGCATATCAAAAAATCTAATCCAAACCAAAATGGTCAAATTATTATTTGCAGTTTTATAAGGCGTTTAAAAAAAAAAGGGACATCATTTCCAGTTTAGCCATAAAGTCTGGGTGGATGATTTTCAGTACCTGCAGTAAGGTTGTCCCTCTCATCTGAAGGAGTGGCTCTCAGATAGATGTAAGACTTGTACTTTTCCTGAAGAATTGCACTAGTATCAATGGTCACAGCCTTGTCCAAGGCCACCACTTCATAAGTGATAAAAAGACAGCCCCTGTAGAAAGTTAATGGATAAGCTGTGGTTGAAAGTTCTTTTCACACAAGTTTGCAATTGATTACAAAGATTGAAACATGTTTGCAAATATTGTAACTTACCCAGAGACAACTGCAGCAGTTACTTTAGCAACCTTTCCTATATGTCAGCAAAAAATGAAGAAGATTAACCTTCATTGATATACATTAGATACATGTTTCAAACTGTACTCACAAACGCATACAGGTTAAATCCATGTATTAAGAGTAGTTAGATATGTGAGTTTGCTAACAATAATCGGTATACACGTATGAGAATTGTGTGCCATCATAACTTACTTAAATCTTTCCACAGAGGCACTTTCCTTACTCCAGGCGACCCAGCTGTGCTCAGTCTCCGACAGCGGATCAAACGGAGAGCAGCTGCAGACATCCTCCGCCTGCATGTCACCAAGTATGTTGGGGATAAATGAATAAAACCGTAGGAATATCAGGCAAGAAACGAATACAGCTGTGCATAGCACGGTCATGCGTGACACCTAATAATGCCAAGTGGTAAATGTAACGCCAATCAAATCTGTCACAAGTTCTCTAGCTAACGTTAGCTAACATAGCTGCAGTTTAGAAGCACCTCCTCAGCTGTCAGTCAGTCTCAGCTCATCTTCCAGCTGTATGTTACCCTAAAGTTAAACTAAGATATGAGACACTCGTTGGCATAAACAAGTTAACTGTTACAACGACTCAAGCTAAATGAATAGTTAGCTAACACTAACCTGCACTAAGAACTAGCTTCAAAGCTAACGTTTCCCTCTAATAGCTTCCGCGCCAGCTAACTGAGCTACCCAGCTGGGGGGTTAGTTAACCGGTTCGTGCGGGGTTTATTTTCCTTGTTGATATGTGACATTACCTTATTTATCGACTGCTGTCAATGACCTATCGTGATGTTCTCTGCAGCGCCCGGTGTTCATAAACACAACGGAAAGTTGTCTCACAAATAATACGTCATCCACAGCAACTAACCCTAACGCGATCAGGTACAACGAAAATAAGTGTTTATTGTAACATTTAACACTAAACGTTTGCAGTGCAGTGAGTGTTCATTTGTGTTTTTGACAAAACAACAATACTTTACTGGTTTGTGCATCGAAATGCAGTAACAGTGCCATTTAAGTGCTACTTAAGCAAGAAAAACCAAGGCGAACTTTGTTGTGTAGTGTGGATGATGAGTTTCAAGTATCAGTCTGAGGATAAAATCTTGTCTGTTGTCTAGTGGTAAGACAGATATTACTACTATTTCTCTTAATAGATGGCAGGAAGGTGGATATACTTTGGGCTCTTTGCAGGCTCATCTCCTCCCCAATATCACTGATGCCCAGTAGACAGGTAACAATGATGTTAAGTCAGTTTTAATTACCTATGTCCTGTGCAAAACCTTTATTGTGATAGTCAAGATGGACATAAAATTAATCTGCCTTCTTAATGTGGTGGACCTCATACCTATACTAGTTTAAGAACACACATGCAGTCTAATACAATAATCATGAAACAAATACAAACTATTTTCAAAGTTTATAATGTTCAGAGAAAGACATGTTGATGTTGGTGATACCGACTGACATGAGGCCGTAACATTTGTCTGGCACGGTCAACTAAAATCAAACTTCAAAACTATATAACTTAATACTTTTATTTTTAATACTTTATTGTGGTGCAATATTTTCACGACATAATTTCCATATCTTGTGTTCCCTTATGCAAGTTAAGGGCAGTGCTTTGTTTGTATTGGCAAACAGACTAGAAACCACAGTTTTTGCATAAAAAACTCATCTGTCATACTTTTTGATTCTAGCATTTATTTAATTAACTTATGAGCAAAGTTCAGTAAAGTAATTTCAAATATAAAACACAAAACTTTTGACACCTAATGCCCAACCTCTATGTATCTCTCTCCAGCTCACACATACTGTTCCTGCAAACGCAGACACACTTAATTACTTTGAATGCCACACAATCCCATAAACCAAAAGTCAATAAAAAACATGTGTGAGACAGCAATGAAAACATTAAACATCAGAGTTTAAAGTTGTCTCCTCCAGGTTTTACATACGTTCATGACTCAACGTATTAAATACAAGTTAACACACAAACATTTACTTTCTTTTGGGATACACATACACAATCATCATTTTTTTTTAGCTGTGACAAAGAAGAAGTCTTCCCCTGCGTCGTACTTGCTTAATGACCAGTACGTTTTTGTATTTTTATATATTTGTCGGTTTTTGCCTTGTCTAAAACAAACAAAGATTCTGTTTAGGCATACACGAGTGTCGTTCACCACTGAATACAGACTGAATTATTTTACGATTAATCATTTTTGTTCACAAGCAACCATTGTCACTCTGCTGAGAGTGAAGATACTGTAAGATAAGATGGACCTTTATTTATCCCTGTGGGGAAATTCAGGAGTTAAAGCAGCAACATTGAGAGTGAAATACAGGACAGTACAGAATCACACAAGGTACAAAAAACAACTGTCTGTTATTTTATGATAGAAGTATGCCTAATCAATACCAGATATATATTAACAAACTAAAATACACACAGAACCTTTTGTAGTTTAAACAAGGTTGATGTCCTTGTTGGCTCCACTCTGCATCATCTTGTCATATAAATCATCATCATCATCAATACATGTTCAGTCTGAAATCATTTGTAAATCATTTGTAAATCCATTTACCACTCTGGGCTCATTTAGTAAAGAGTCATCTGGGTGCACTTACTCCTTCAGGTGCATGTTTCCTGATATGCTCTAATAATGCTCTCATAGGCTGGAGGTGGGGTCTGTGTAGCATTGAAACCCCTCTGGCCATTGTTCCCCCAAAATGACTCAGGTCTGGGTGGGGTGGCAGCCGGCTGAGCTGCTGTTTGAGCTGATCCAGTGGACGTGGTCAGAGTTGGTGTACGAGGCAGCGTGGTCTGGCTCCCTTCCTCTGCCTCCCTTGCAATTTGGCTGCACTGCAGGAGAGGGTGGAAGGTAGAGGCCCTGAAGCTGGATTTGTGCCCCAGTGGGTCGAGGTGGTCCGGGGAGGAAGTCTGGCGGTGGAAGCTGAAAGCAGCACTGACCAAACTGTTGTTGCTGCGCCGGTCGTAGCTGCTGTTGCGGTTAAAACCTGGACGGCTACGGGAAGACGTGCGTGATTGGCGAGGAGTGCGGCGGGTGATGCTGGCAGAGCCGGCTCTGCGTCGGGACATCCAGGTCAAAATCACATAAACCAAGGCCCCCAAGACCAGGCCCACAGCAATAGACACACAGAAAGCTATGATCAGAGGGACTGTGAAGAGAGAAACACATGTCAAAAAGGATATTTTAGGATCTATGCTTCAGTATAAAACTTAATTTCCTTTTTGATTTCCTCTACCCAACCAACTTATACACTCTTCAGGTTCACTTTTGGGGACAAGAGCTTAATAATAGCTATGCAATATATCAAAATACACTGAATCGGTAATAACAGTCTTTTTTATTATCCCCTCGGAATGGAAGGAATCTTAACTAGAATCTATGCGTTTACCAAGATTACAAAAAGCATCTGTTTGTTTAAAAATTGCCAACAGTGTCTTGCAAGATGGTGCCCCCTTGACTAAATAACAGGCTTTCCTCCTTTATGTTTACCAGAGCACCGGAAAACAAACCAGTTGCATTTCATTGCAACAAAAAAAGGACCGATTTTTTTGTTCATTGCTTCTCTGCCTTAGAAGCAGTCGTACCAACATAAGCGTGCTTGAGAGAAGAGAGAGAATGCAGCAGCTAAGACATATCCTTTGGATCGCTGCCAGAAAAAACAAATCAATTTCCTCTGAATACAGTTACTGTAAGCATTAAAAAGCTGAACCCGCTTTGCTACCATTCCATATTTCCACAGTAGTTTTTTTCTCTAACTTTTGGAAAAGAGGAAGGACACACTGGTGAAAAGTCATCTGGAAATGACATTTCGGGGGGAAAACACTGAAAAAACATGTCGGGAGGACCTTATAGATTTAGAGTGAGTTGCAAAAAGTTTCAATTAAGTGATCTTCAAAGGAAATCAGGCCCACATATTGAATCTATTTCAGAGGTAATTAAAGCTTGAATTCCCGAGAGAACAACAATGCCAATTATGCAGACCACATCAGAAAGACCAGCCTAAAGAGAAGGGAAGTTAGAAAAAACTCACCGGCATCAAAGGACTGAAGTATTTCCAGAAAGACATTTGTGTTGTTCTCAGCCATGACTTCGAGAAGAAAAAGAGAGACTGGTTCTCAATTCAGTCCGTCTTTTACTCTCCCTTCTCCTCTTCCTCTGTCAATTCCTGCCTGTCTCCCTAACTTCTGATGGGTATTCCTGTCTTTCTGGCTTCCTGTTCTCTAACTTTCTCCCTCTCTCGTACTTCGCTCACTTTCTCTGTCAGTATGTCTGTCTCCCTCAGAGGGAGACTCAGCCCAGAGGCACACAGGACTGGTGGCTAACCCTGGCAGTCGTCTTGTTTATGGAAGCGGAAAACGACACTGTCACATTTCCTGCTTTTCTGCTTGAAATTAGCAACAGGAGTGGCTTATCTATCCAGGGCAGAGATCCTGGAGGTGGGGACACGGGGTGTTGCTATAATCACTTCCTCTCCCATCATTTCCTTCAGGTTGATTGATGTAGAAGGGTAGCAGCCCAGCGCCATTAGACTAATAGTACTTCAGCTTTCACCATAGGAAACTAAGTCCACCACAATCCCCAATATTTTTGTTTCTTTCAGAAATTATAAATATTTCGCTCTAATATTTTTTCCTTCCACCACAGAGACCACAGGCGACAGTTTGGCAGTAACAGGCCTGCAACCACAGCTGGATTTGATGGTGGCAATACTGTAAGTGCTTTTAAAACTGAGTTGTAATTATGCAAAAAATGACACTACTGCCTGCCCGTTCTGATTTCCAGCGTCTTTGTTATGAAGCTCAGTCTTTCCATACTTTCTGCCAGGTCAGCGGTGCCTGCATTGGACGTCTGGTCTTTTCTCAGTGCAAGAGATCCAGTAAAAACATTGTAGTTTGATAAGACAGAAAAGCTTATGTCACACATTCTTGATCCCACAGTCAGCATTGTTTTAATCCCCTCCGAACTAAATCTGCAAAGTCATCAGTACAGTCAGAGGGAAGGATGCAAGCAGTCATATTGGTTTGCATTTAATGTACACCAGCCCCACTTTTCCATCAGCTTTGGGTTTGCTTCCCATAGGTGATAAATAATCAATTATTTACTGGAAACCTGTTAATGTTGTCCAGTAAGATGAATAATTCTTAGATGTTGAGACACATTTTGTGAGTTCCTTATGAGTCAAGTAAAAGTTTATTATAGGCCAATATAACAAAGCATGCCTCAAAGGGCTAAACATATAATAAAAACAGCATTAAGCAAAGTTAGCAAAACACAGAAAATGTATGCAAAGTGCGTACAATTTTGATTAAGAAGTTGACATTCGTCAGCCTTCTCATTGGCTAAAGGAGAGAGAGAGAGAGAATGCCCGACCAACTCTTGAACTTCCTTTAATTGTTGACTGTCGTAAAACCTGTCCTAAATAAAAACACCCATAATACTGAATGGTATTTGTAGCCATTGTGTTCTGCAATAGAGTAATTGGAGAGGTATGTGCTGGTGGGAGAGACATTCTTTGAGCTTTATAGCTTAAGTTCACGACCTTATCAAAATGTCATTGGTCAGAATGGAGGGGAAATTACAGTGTGCAGCCCTATCATTTACTTTCTGTAAGGGTTTCAAGCAGTAACACAATAGGCAGTGACAAAGTATTTACTACATTATTGCAGTGTTTAAAATCAAACAGAAAAATAATGAGGTTCTAAATTAATAAAATGAATTATAAATATTTTATCAATCCCAACAGTAGCTTTTATAATTCTGCCATTCCGATGCATAAAATAAGATATCATAGTAGCGATAAGTGATATGTTATGCGATCATTTTTACGATGAGGATTCTACAATAGTCTAATACCAGTCTCCACTATGCGTTCCTTTCATCCCCTCCTTGACCAGTAGATGGGGTAGTACTCCAGGATAACTTCCCAACATATCTAACCGTCATGTTTCCTGAACACCTCAGAGAGCAGGTGAACGCCCATATAAACATGCAGCTTGTTTGAAATAATCCATATATTAACCAGGTGAATCTCGTACTTAAAATGCAAACTGCTCATATTATTGTGAAATATAGGGTGTTTGTTCGGCTACACACTTTACATCATCCTCAACGTATTCATCACACAGTTTTGAAATCACATATTTTGTAAGAGAACATTGCAATGAAAATCAGTCTCTGATATTTTAAGGCATCCTGGCTCCAAAATGGTGGAATGAGCTCCCCATTGACATCAGGACAGCAGAAAGCTTACACATCTTCCGGCGCAGACTGAAAACTCATCTCTTTCGACTCCACTTCAAGCAATAAAATGAAAAAAACAAAACAAAACAAAAAAACAAAACAAAATAAAAAGCACTTACATACTAACAAAGCACTTACATACTAACAAAGCACTTATATACTAACAAAGGACTGGCTTATCTAAAGCCAGTTGAGTAGCACTTAAAATGTTTTGGCTCTATGAAACTTAATGTACTTATATGATTCTGTTTTCTTCAAGTTTGTATCTTCTTGGTCGAATGCACTTATTGTAAGTCGCTTTGGATAAAAGTGTCAGCTAAATGAAATGTAATGTAATGGCAGGGATTTGACAACTTTTTTCCAATATAAAACTATAAAAAGGGGTTGGAAGTTAAATCCACATATTTTTTATGTATTATAAACTTTGTAAATCACTGGGTTACAAACATCAGTATAACTTATTTTATGTCACTTGTAACTATAGAGACATGTTAACTTTTTTTAACATGTCATTTTGCAGTACATGAAATCGAGTTGCAGAACAGTATTTCTCTCTTTTGAATTATTTTGATTTTGACATGCAGGCAACAACAAACTTTATAATGAGATTTTAGAAGACCGCTGACTATGCATGAAAGAGATTACCACACTGGCTGTCTTGGTTCCAGCTCTCTGCCTGTGCAATGATTAGATAAGAAAATGGATCTTAACGGGGAAATGCCTGGCTACTGCAGGAAGATTTCCTATTGACCCCTTTGTCTCCGCTCTCAGCTCCCTCCTCTGCAGCAGCGTCTGCTCTCTCTTCTGCTGAATCTCTTTGGTCCTGACGGTAGAGGTCACCTCCAGCCGAGCTGCGTAAAAATGCAGGAATCAGCAGTCCGTGTCTGCTGCAGTGGACTCGGCCAATCCAACTAAATCCTACAATTTATCACAGTGGCAAGTCAAACAGCTGGTTCAGACTACGTAACTACAAAATGGTTTGTTTTCTATTTCTATTTGTCAGGATGAAATACTGATTTAGTTCTTACTGAGGGTTTTAAAGTTACACTCCCAATGTAGTTGATTTGTCTCTGGTTTTACAATGACCTTAGGATAGGAAGGCAATTTAGAATGAATGATATTTATATTCAAGCAGTAGGCCTATATGGCATATTCTGGCCATAACAAGTTGTCATGTTTATTGTGTAAAAAATGTATTTTGCGGTAAGGTTTTCAAACAAACCCGTTCGATGAACCCAGTTGCCTGCGTTTTAATTGAGAGTTCTTTCACGTTCAATAATTCCTAAACGTAACCCACTCCTTATTACACAAGATCATGTTTTCTCAGTCACTAAAGACAAATGATAAACAACAGAGCTTCAAAAAAGAGGCTAGACGGAGATCAGAACTCAAATATTTCTGTTGTCCTAAAGATTGACAGCCATAAAGTCACCCTCATTCACCTGCTGCTAATGCCATGGGCTCATTAACATAAAGCCATTCCATAAATGAATCCCAGAATCATATTGGACTACACTGTCCAGCTGAGGATGTGCAATCAATAATAATTTATCAGCTTTTATGTTTGTCATGCCCACTCCTCTGTCTCACTTTGTTGGATGAGACTGAGTCCGGAGCAGTGCAGCTCTCCTCTCTGCTCCATTAAGAGCTCTCCCGAGATGATGATGAAAGGACTTGTCTAATGGGATTACACATCGCGATAAGTGCTCGGAGCCCAGTGGTTCATCACACCTCCCTTCTGCTTTTCAAAGGGTGGCATTGATCTGCTTTGTAGTTGCATATATTGGATATAGTTTTGGATAGATGTTTTATTGGCAGGGTTTTGTTTAATCAATTGCTACTTGTATCATAGTTGTGTCTTCAAATTTAATTTGAAAGATACAATCCACTTGAAGAGTTGTTGCTCAGTTTTTTTGTGTTAATTTGAACAAATCCCACTTTAACCCAACGAGCAGCAATAGGCCAGATTTATTTTTTTGAAGGCAGGACATAGACTAGTAAAACATCTTAAACCACCCCTTTCAATGAACAATGAATAAAGGAGAAACTCATTGTTAACTGTTAGATCATGCAGGGTGACTAATTTAAAACACAAGCACATTTTCTGAGTGACAGCTGGAAGCCCTACATTCAAAAACAACAATTTATTTTACTTTATACTTTAGAACTTCATGATTGGGTCCAGGGAACCAAAGTCATCCTAATTGTACAGTTTTAAGATTTAAAATAATTAAAATGTACTAATGCTCTGATCACAAGAAATAGTTATTGTGATTTCTGTTTTAAGGTGGATTTTGTCTTAAACATAGTAAGGATAATTACTTTTTCTGAATTTAAATCAATTAAAAAACGTCTTGCTGCCATCAGAAGCGAGGTTCTTGCTGCAGCACATGCTGTCCTCTCTTCTTCCATTGTTGTGTCTCTCACTTGCTGACAAACACTTTTTCTCCCTTTCACCCAGACAACACAAATCTCTTTCAGTGGCACCGGTTGGCACCAGAAGATACCTGCCACGCTATTGGTCCTGATGTCCCAGGGAAAAGGAAGAGCCATGCCTTTTGATTGGACAGCAGGTGGCAGTGCATGCAGACCAGGAAGCTGTCTTGTCTGCAGAAGTAAGAGGCTCAGGCTTACTGTACGGGACTGCTGGCATACACATACTGTATGCGCTTACATCATCATCGGGGGAGGAGCTTCTCTGAGTGTGAGGATTGCAGACTGCAACAAGGATGACTTGGAAATAAAAACACAGCAGCATGGACAGGATTCAGCCCTGATATACTGCAGTAAGTGTGAAAACACAAAACTCAGCCCTCAGCATGAGAGCATTACCAGGTTGACGCACAAGAGTTTGGACGTGACCTCGGGACAGCAGCATGGCATCACCCAGGCACTACGGACACTCTGCTCGGGACATTACCAATGTGATGCAGAGGCTGCAAGGTAGGTGTAAAATGCTTACTCACTCATACTGCTCCATCTCAGTTTGCAGCGTTATTAGAGGTGACCTAGTGCTTGGCATGACACAGCAAATCAGTGTGAGCTCTCACTGTTACTGTAATAAATCAGTAAAAATCCTTTCTGCTAATGGA